GGGGGGGTGATGTGTAAGAGTGGGAGCCGTGTGAACATACCGCTCCGAGGAGAAGGCCCACGAGGATGGTTGCCAGAGAGAAGAGCAGGTAAGAGACCCACACAGGGATGCCGAGCTGCTCGGTGAGGTAGGCATGGGTGTTCTGGGAAATGGTCGGAGGGGGGGGGGGTGGGAAATTCATTCATCTGTCATTAGACACGGAATGACAGGTGGCTGAAATGCAGCTTAAACAATCAGGGGCAGAGCCAGGGGGGTGACAGGGTAGACAATTGTCACCCCCGAAAAAAAAAAATCGAAAATCTGAAACATTCTGCGTATAAGTGTACGACACTCGGTCTGGCGGACTCCGTGCAACTGCATTGTCAGAGTGTGTCGCCAACCGATGGCGTCTAGTTCAACAGCCTGACTCTCTAATCATTCTTGAAATAAAAATTTGTTGAATGTCACTCAGGGCTGAAAATCCTGGCTCCGCCCCTGTAAACAATTGTTTTAATCTTTTAGTGTTTAGTTTGCCATCCTTCCCCGCACCTCCGATTAGCACGGTTGGCTTTGTCGGTTGGCTACGTAGTTCAACATACATATGAAAAGGCAGAGAACCTGCAAATGCGTTTCACGTTCTGAAAGCTCCTTCTTTAGCCCGAGGGCAAAACGCGCGCGCTGAAAATACAGCCTTGTAGTTTCTCGCTGCTGACGTTACAAAGTGGAGCGTGTGTCCTCTGCTCTGCAGAACCCGTGATACGTGTCCGTCTAGTGTAGCACAGCAAGTGGGTTTATGAAGGCTGTCTTGTTCGGAGTTTAAGCGTTCTCCTCTCTGTTACTTATGGATGTTCTCCAGTCACTTGTTTCATTTTTACATACAAAATTACTGAAAAAATAATAAATCAATTATTAAATGACAGGACTCAAAAGATCTTCCAGCGATTTAACAATTCGTCAATTCGAATAAGATTCATCCTTCCAATAAAATGGAACAAAAGGAAGTGGCACTTTGTCAATCCACTGCTCGATGAGGCACTCTGCACACCACGCTGGTCGGGGGGGGGGGGGGAATCGTAATGCTAGATTTTTTTATTAACGATTTTCCAATTGTGCACCACGATAGACTCTAGGTTCATACTGCGAGGGTCACGGTTACAGACTACAGCCTCCGTCTCATGAGATGGTGGACATCTCATAGCCTCTTCCAGAAGATGTCTGCTGCCACCAGAAGACTCTTACACATCGACTTCTATCTAGAGGCAATGGCTGTCAACGTGATTTATTTACTTACTCTATGTATTTATTTATTTAATCTCTGCCGTCTATTCCAGGACTACTAAAGCTAAACTCTTTTTTATTTTACCAAGTTAAAGCCCACCGAGCGATTACCTTATTTTTCAGACGCGTCCTAGGCCACAAATGATAGCTCAACGAAGTGGCTTAACACGTGCGTACATATATAGCAGCCAAATAATCTAAATAAACGCATTAAAACCGGACCTACCTTGATCCAGTGAGAGAAGTCCATCAACGCAGACATCCCAGACATCCTGATAAAAAAAAACAAGCACCAGCAGTGAGGCACGACGATTAGACAGCGACACACCGCAGCTAGTGACACAAATATACAAAGAATACATTAATCCTTATTCGGGTCGGTACGAATAGGATGGTCTGACCATCCATCACCACCACGCCTAGTTGCCTTCATCTCCACAGTGCTGATGTTTGCACATTAGTGTATGTACAGCGACACCTTGACTTTCGTCGCTTCGCTCTTTCGGACGTTTGCAATTATAACCACATTTCAAATTTCGTCCACGCGGCTTTCCTCTTTCATGCGATTTCATCCCAAACCTTCCATGACGTTCGGGCCACGCGCCGTCTTTTTCATTCAGTCTTTGAAGAGAAGTCGTTCAGTGAGCATCTCTTATATTTTTGTTTATTCATGTATTAATACTGTACTTATTTATGTGATTATACTGTTAACAATTCAGTTATTTTCGCGATAACAATATAATACTACAGTGTTTACTTACGCAATAATAAAAAAAGATTTCAAGATATCATTGTTGAATTAGTTAGTTGTTTATTTTTTTCTTCTTTTTCTGTCTATTTAAGGTTTCCGCGCATGCGTTATATAGTTATTGTAGTTATTTCCACGTACGTTTTTTTTTGCCGGCCAAAATTAATTTGCAAGCTAAATAAAGGCTCTGCTTTGAAATTCGTCCATTTTTGACATTCGTCCATGCTTTGGTCCCTAACCAGACGAAAGTGAAAGGTATTCCTGTACTCATTTAAGGCTGTGTTGATCACAGCCTCAAACGAGGCTGATTAGCACGGTTGGATACGTATGGTGCGAAAGAAGTTCAACATGCATACATAGACGACCTGTTCAGTGTCGCCTGCCACTGATGTTAGCTGTGGCCAGGAATCGAACTCAGGTTGCTGGGTTCAGCACGGGGTGCAAAGCACGATGCCACTGCTCCCCGAACACTGTCCTCCCGCACCTCTGGTTAGCATGGTTGGCTATGGACGGTGCGAAAGAAGTTCAACATATATACTTAAAAATATCCCCCGTTTAGACTTCAGACTGATGGGATAAAGTGATATGCGTAAGAACCAATTAAGCCTTGCAGTGCACACAAGGAGTGCTGTGGCCAGCACTATCACATTTAACCCACACACTTACAAACTTAAGCACACGCACACACCACAAACACCCATAACACAGCAAACACACACACACAGACACTCGCAGCCCATAAAAAAATACAAACACCCCGCATATCCATTGACAGACTGTTGTCCGGGACAAGTGCTATTAGCGAGCACCTATGAAGGCCAGCACGGCGCATAATAGGGTGGGAGGCCAACACCAACAAACCTTCGTCTCCCCAGCACTGATGTTTTACACACCACACAAGGTCATCATTTAAGGTTGAGTCGACCTTGGGGAGGCCCAAAGTCGGGTCAAACATTCACACCAGGTATTGGTCATGAGCGGGAATTGAACTAATTTGTCGCCGGATTCGTAGCCGCTCCCCACACAGACCATAACACAATGCTATACTCGTTTGCTCGCGCACACCCAATGGATTCTTACGCGAGCGAGTTGGGGTCCACCCAGGAGGAGACTGGCTTCACCCCCAGCCATTTCTTATCCTCGATGAAGCTCAGGAAGTCCTTCTCGAGACGCGATCCCTCGTACTGGCGGAACACCCCCTCGTGTATGCTGTTGCAGAGAGAGAGAGAGTGGAGGGCCGTGTTACACGGAGGAAAGCGTTCGGCCTCCGCCTAGCGATTGGGTTGGGGTTTTTTTGGAAGTTAAATCCAGCGCGGTGAAGTCACGGTCAACGCACGAACGGCTTGCTGAGTGCCGGGGGTACTCACTGGTAAATCGTAGGCAGGGAGGTAATTAGGAATCGACCACTGAGACCTGAAAGAAGAAGTAGAGTGGTGTTGGTGTCAGCACCTGTGCAAGCTACAACACGAAACAGCGTAGGGGGCATGTGGCTAGGGCTAATCCGGTCATGCCCCCCCCTCAAAACCAATTCACCCCTCCCCCCCCCCCCGGCAAGCTGCGATTACAAATGTTTATTTCTAAGTTGGCGCTCAGTTACTTCCGCAGTATTTAAAATGTACATATGACAATATGATACACTTTAAGCATTTGCAGGTGTGGAGTTTGAATGGCAATATCTCAAAGCATATCTAACAAATACATTGCATATTCTCAGCTCTTTCGGTAAAGTCACGTTGAAGGGAAACAATAAAATAATAAAATATATAAAACAATAAAATTCTCACGACGTTTCGACCATAACACAAACGGTCGTCATCACACCTGATGACGACCGTTTGTGTTATGGTCGAAACGTCGTGAGAATTTTGATTGTTTTATATATATTTTATTATTTCCCTTCAATGTGACTTTACCGAAATAGCTAAGAATATGAATTACTGCAGTCACGAAAGCTTTAAATCAAAATACATTGCACCTCAGAGTGAGATTTCATTGCAAAAATGCAAAAGTCGATTTCCAAACCAAGTGGCAAAACTTAGTTCTGCTTTTAAAGTCTACACTGGAATTTCTGCCTGGGCAATAACGGTCATCACTGTACACAGAGGAATCTGACTGGAGAATATAACACCAGCCCTGCCTCTCACCGATTTACAAGATGCCATTCATTCTTAATTATTAACTACTATAAGCATTGGGGGTTGAGTGGTGGTGCAGTGGTTAGCGCACTGCACTATGAACCCAGAAGCATGAGACTGTTTCCCGGCCACGGCAAAAATCGTTGGCGAGCGATGTCTCAATAGGTTCAGTTAATTTCAGTTCATTTATATGGTATAGCCCTGTGAGCCATTCGGCTCTTGAATCGGGTGCAACCACAACAAACAAAAAACATGAACAAGAAAACATCTTAAAGTGACTATGTGACTGTGCAAAACATAAAATCCAGGAAAAAACATCAAAATATTACTGAAAAAGCACCGTACACCAACGCTGTGTTTAAAAATCCCAGTGCGATGCAAGTCAAACAACACCACCACAAGACAACTTAGATTAAGGCCATCAGTCTAACTCCGTACTACAACAAACTAAAACATGGGCAAACTATTTTTTTTTTCGAAATCACCAAAATAAAGCCATATATGCAATGTAGGGACTGTGACCGAATTTTTAACAATAAACTACATAAATAACATGTAACACCAAACCCGAGAGCCATAGCTGGTGCTTACTTCACTAACTCACACTGGCCAGAACGGTGAAGTATGGTCAAATAACCCCCCATTCACCAACTTGACACAGCACTGGCAGGCTCTTCAACCACCAGTGGCTTGACAAAGCCACGTCATTCACGATTATTATTTGCTATTATTAAGCACCAGCGAGCCTGTAGACTATGCACATAGTGTGACAACACCATTAAAATTATATACCAAGCACAAATCTCCCACCACAAGCTCATGCTATGGTCAGGCTTCCGGCCGCAGTTAAAATATTTTTATATTTTATTCCTCCTCCCGTGAATGCATAAGCGTGTGCTTCCCCGTGGTTCGAAGGCAATAATAAGGGCGAATCGTCCCCCTATGCAAGTTGAACTTTCGCACCGTACATAGCCAACCGTGCTAATCAGAGATGTGTGTATAGCTGCATCTATGAAGATGCAGCAACAGAAATCAGCTACCCTCCCCCTTATTAATGTTTCACTTTCCTTGCTCGTTATGTATATACATTGAACTTCTTTCACCACTGTAGGTAGCCGACCATGCTAATAGTTCAGCCGTTTTTTTGCTAAAGACAAAAATGGCTAAACAATACCCCAAAACGGTAAAATGTACATACAGCGAGGGAAAAAAAGTATTTGATCCCCTGCTGATTTTGTACGTTTGCCCACTGATAAAGAAATGATCAGTCTATAATTTTAATGGTAGGTATATTTGAAAAGTGAGAGACAGAATAACAACAACAAAATCCAGAAAAACGCATGTCAAAAATGTTATAAATTGATTTGCATTTAAATGAGGGAAATCAGTATGTGACCCCCTCTGAATCAGAAAGATTTCTGGCTCCCAGGTGTCTTTTATACAGGTAACGAGCTGAGATTAGGAGCACACTCTTAAAGGGAGTGCTCCTAATCTCAGCTTGTTACCTGTATAAAAGACACCTGTCCACAGAAGCAATCAGATTCCAAACTCTCCACTATGGCCAAGACCAAACAGCTCTGCAAGGATGTTAGGGACTAGATTGTCGACCTACACAAGGCTGGAATGGGCTACAAGACCATTGCCAAGCAGCTTGGTGCGAAGGTGACAACAGTTGGTGCGATTATTCGCAAATGGAAGAAACACAAAGAACTGTCAATCTCCCTCGGCCTGGGGCTCCATGTGGAGTTGCAATGATCATGATAACGGTGAGGAATCAGCCCAGAACTACACGAGAGGATCTTGTCAATGATCTCAAGGCAGCTGGGAACATAGGCACCAAGAAAACTATTGGTAACACACTACGCCGTGAAGGACTGAAATCCTGCAGCGCCCACAAGGTCCCCCTGGTCAAGAAAGCCCATATTCATGCCCATCTGAAGTTTGCCAATTAACATCTGAATGATTCAGAGGACAACTGGGTGAAAGTGTTGTGGTCCGATGAGACCAAAATGGAGCTCTTTGGCATCAACTCAACTTGCCGTGTTTGGAGGAGGAGGAATGCTGCCTATGACCCCAAGAACACAATCCCCACCGTCAAACTTGGAGGTGGAAACATCATGCTTTGGTGGTGTTTTTCTGCTAAGGGGACAGGACAACTTCACCGCATCAAAGGGATGATGGACGGGGCCATGTACCGTCAAATCTTGGGTGAGAACCTCCTTCCCTCTGCCAGGGCATTGAAAATGGGTCGTGGATGGGTATTCCAGCATGATAATGACCCAAAACACACGGCCAAGGCAACAAAGGAGTGGCTCAAGAAGAAGCACATTAAGGTCCTGGAGTGGCCTAGCCAGTCTCCAGACCTTAATCCCATAGAAAATCTGTGGAGGGAGCTGAAGGTTCGAGTTGCCAAACGTCAGCCTCGAAACCTTAATGACTTGGAGAAGATCTGCAAAGAGGAGTGGGACAAAATCCCTCCTGAGATGTGTGCAAACCTGGTGGCCAACTACAAGAAACGTCTGACCTCTGTGATTGCCAACAAGGTTTTGCCACCAAGTACTAAGTCATGTTTTGCAGAGGGGTCAAATACTTATTTCCCTCATTAAAAAGCAAATCAATTCATAACATTTCTGACATGCGTTTTTCTGGATTTTGTTGTTGTTATTCTGTCTCTCACTGTTCAAATAAACCCACCATTAAAATTATAGACTGATCATTTCTTTATTCTTAGTTCTTTCGGTAAAGTCACGTTGAAGGGAAACAACAAAATAATAAAATATATATTTTTATTGTTTTATATATATTTTATTATTTTGTTGTTTCCCTTCAACGTGACTTTACCGAAAGAACTAAGAATATGAATTACTGCAGTCACGAAAGCTTTAAATCAAAATTTGATCATTTCTTTGTCAGTGGGCAAACGTACAAGATCTGCAGGTGATCAAATACTTTTTTCCCTCACTGTACCTACATTATGTATGTTGATTAGCTGTGAATAACCCCACCAATAATAGATATCTAATGTAATTTATATGACTTTAACCCCCCCTACCCCCCTATGGTCTTCACACCTGATTAGCTCACAAGTGACGACATCACATTTACCCCCTCTATTTAAGACCGAAACCGCACGAGGATTTCTCCACAATTCTGGGTGTTGCCTGACGGGGCTGGTTATTAACGGCGAAACGTCGCACTCGAATTGTAAATGTTGTGGGTTTACTCTTCCAACACACCGGTGTGCTAAATTAGTAACGAATTGGCCACGTTTTCTTTACGTGACAAACCTTGCTTATTGACTGCGTCCGGTGGTGGCGGGTTTAACGACACCTTTACACTTGCAAAGTTTTAAGTCAAAATTTACATTTACGTGATCCAACCCCCCCCCCCCCCGCCCAAAAAAACCTCTACTTTGGATAATACCCCGGGGGGGGGGGTGGGCGGGGGGACGACAACGACGACGACAGTGGGTTCTCCTGTGTCGTGCGACGTGGCACCTGTCTGTAACGTGATGTCCACCTTGCCAACCCTGATGTTCAGGTCCTTGCTCCAGCCGGCCAACTTCACCCACTCGGGCTGCAGCTGTTGGCAGGCCGGACACCATGGCGCGTAGCTGCAAGGGATAAACACGCACGTGCACCGTCGTCCGTGTGTTCACACGGAGAACGTTGCCTCCGATTCAAACACGATCAAACCTATGTACGTACGTACACATGAACTTCTTCTGCGCCGTACGTAGCCGACCTCGCGAATCGGAGGTGCGGGAAATGGTCAAGGCGTCAGAGGTCATCACGGCCCGCTCGCCATCAATTGTGGAATCCCCTTCCTCGGTCCATTAGGGATTTCTGAGTCGGTTTCACTTTTAAATCACGTCTTAAGACTCACCTAATTTGTACTGCAGGCCTTCCCCGTAGCTTAAGATAACAACAAAAATTGTACGATTGGATTACTCTGCAATTATTATTATTATTCGTTTTTAATCACAGTTCTTCATTTTATTGGAATTTTTAGAGTAGTTATCGAGATTGCTATTGTCATCTTTCTATTTCGTTTCTAGATTTGAAGCTTTCGTGACTGCAAGGATCCATACTCTTTGGTTCTATTCGGTAAAGTCACGTAGGTATCTACACTTATGAATGTCGTACGGCGCTTTGACAGGCGCTTTATAAAATAGGTGATTATTATTATAAATGTGACCACCAACAACGCCATGGCATCATCACCACTACGTGGCTAAGTCTTCCCTTTCTTACATGGTCAACGTGTCCTTCAAGGACCACTCTTGCAGTCTCCATCACCACATTAGGAAGCCACTGGAGCTATGCACTTTTAAATCTAAATTGAAAAATAACTTCTTTAAAACTGCTTTTTTGTGTTCAGTTTTGTTGTTTTTATCCCCCACACCAACTCCGATTAGCGCGGCTGGCTACGTACGGTTTTGAAAAAAGTTCAACATACATACACCATCTCCTAGCTCTAAATTAAAAAAAAATGTGGAAGAAATACACGTGGGCTCACATTCATTTGAAATATTAAAAAAGTGTCCACTTTTTGTAAGCCCGAATTTTGGCCACTTCCAGCCCAAACTGTTTTTTTGCCACTTCACAACAAAAACTATTCGGCAGCCCCGACCGCACTGCACTTGGTCACACAATGTAGCTGGACCCCAGGTCGTCTCCTTCTCCACAAAGAGTGACTGCAAACATGCACTACTTGTACTGTGTGCAGTACTTGTAGATTGTGCACTACTTGTACTGTGTGCACTGCTTGTACTGTGTGCACTACTTGTACTGTGTGCACTACTTGTACTGTGTGCACTACTTGTACTGTGTGCAGTACTGTGTACTGTGTGCAGTACTGTGTACTGTGTGCAGTACTTGTACTGTGTGCAGTACTTGTACTGTGTGCACTGCTTGTACTGTGTGCAGTGCTTGTACTGTGTGCACTGCTTGTACTGTGTGCACTGCTTGTACTGTGTGCACAACTTGTACTGTGTGCAGTACTTGTACTGTGTGCAGTACTTGTACTGTGTGCAGTACTTGTACTGTGTGCACTGCTTGTACTGTGTGCACTACTGTGTACTGTGTGCAGTACTGTGTACTGTGTGCAGTACTTGTACTGTGTGCACTGCTTGTACTGTGTGCACTACTTGTACTGTGTGCAGTACTGTGCACGTGAGCAGTACTGTGCATGTGAACACTACTTGTACTGTGTGCACTACTTGTACTGTGTGCACTACTTGTACTGTGTGCACTGCTTGTACTGTGTGCACTACTTGTACTGTGTGCACTACTTGTACTGTGTGCACTACTTGTACTGTGTGCAGTACTGTGCACAGTACTGTGCTGTATAGTGCAGCACTGTATACAGTGTGGTACTGTGCACAGTACTGTGCTGCACAGTGCAGCACTGTATACAGTGCAGTACAGTGTACAGTGCTGTGTACAGAACGGGGCAGCGTACAGTCGTGTACAGTGCAGTACCGCGAGTAGCTGGCGCTGTACGGTGTACAGTGCAGTGATAATTTTATTGTGTTATTTTATTAACTTATTATTTTATTCTCATTCTACGTGACTTTACCGAAAGAACCAAAGAAGAAAAAAGTGCAGTACTTGTCCAGTGTAATACAGTGTACAGTACTTCACTGTACACAGCGCAGTACTGTACAGAGTGCTGTGTACGGGGCAGCATGCAGTAGTGTACAGTGCAGCACTACGAGTAGCTGGCGGTGTACAGTGCAGTACTTGTACAGTGTAATACTGTATACAGTACAGTCTACAGCGCAGAGTGCAGCGCTGCGCTTGGGTACGGCGTACAGTGCACTGTACCCGCGCCATATACTGTACTGCACACTGTACTGTACAGCGTATGGCAAAAACGTTTTTTTTGCCGAGATAAACAAAGTCTCCCTTTTTTTAAGTAGCGACAATAAAATGTCATCGTCACACTCGCACGAACAGCGTGAGTTCACAGGCGGGCAAATCTCATCTATCCACCGCTGGATGAAGGCCCTCAATCAACATTCCGTGCTGGTCCAGAATGCGGTTATTACATTCGAACACACTTCACGTTTAGTTTTAAAGCTTTCGTGACCGCAGGGATTCGTGTTAGTTGGTTCTTTCGGTAAAGTCACCACCACGTCGAAGGGAAAAAATAAAATAGTAAAAATATTTTTGGAAATATTTTTTTCTTATTTTAATAAAATTTAAAATAATTTTATTGTTTATATTTTTATTGTTTCCCTTCTACGTGACTTTACCGAAAGAACCAAAGGACATACTTCAAGTTGGTCAATCGGTGGGTGTTGGTGACGGGGGGAGTGGTGGGGAGGGCAGCATAGATGTACAGTCCAACAAATGAATTCTGATGCTGTGCAAGGTTAATAATGTCTCGTGAAGCACCATCACAGCTGTCTCAACCCATACGGTGTAACCCCGGATTATTAAAAGACATGGAAATTGAGTTAAGGTCCATACGGGCGCACAAATCGTCTTATTTTTGTGTTGCGTTTCTCCCCTTTGTTGATGCGATTTATAAGGGGGGCACGGGGTGACCAATAAAGGTCTGTATTAGTCTGTAATAAGGCACTGATAAGTGGTTGACAAGTTTGTATTGCAATGTATTTACACTACGATGTATAATTAAACGTCTGTACGAAACGTTGGTCATTGTGCGTTGTATCGCAGAAGGCACGGTAACGTGGTAACGCCGTGTTTAATTTTACGACTTAAAAAGAAGGCTATAACAAGGCCTTAAAGACCAATGTCATAATGAATCCTGGATTACAAATTATTCTATCAATTACAAACAAACAAAAAACCACACACAACATTCATCCGACGCTAGTGCACAGTACAAGACACATCTTCAGCACAAATGTTAGGGCTGCCCGTGACACCATCAATAAGCCACGGCCCAAATCCACTGCTGGATTAAATTGTGTTTTTTATTTTTAATAAATAAATCCCACAAAGTCACCGCCACCTTACGACGATTTTGTCCGCTTAATTTCCTTCCGCGGGTTGTCTCGGTCCAGCAGTGGATCGAGCATGACAATTTCATTGTCCGGCCACTGCCATCATTGCTCTCCGTTGCCTTTCGTCAATCCATCATCATCATCGTCATCATCATCGTCGTCATCATCATCATCGTCGTCGTCGTCGTCATCATCGTCGTCGTCGTCAAATCCACTGCTGGCTGATGACCTCCCCGACGTGCAGATTACGAGTTCTCGCTTACACCACACTTCACCATGCATCGCTCGCTACAGCACAACAATACAACCACCATCATCACCACCACCACCATCATCAGAGAGAGAGAGAGCAGCAGCAGCAGCTCCGTCCACCCATAAACCGCACTCACAATTCCACCATCCACTCCCCTTCCAGGATCTTCCTCCAGTCGCCATCTGCCACCACCTCCACGCCGCCCTTCGTTGCGACCGCCGCCGCCGCCACAAGCAGCAGCAGCAGCGGCAGCAGCAGCGTGCCCAGAGACGCCACCGAACGCCGGCTCGCCATCACTGCCACGATTTTGTTCGTGGCAGGAGATTGTTAAGTTATTGCTTTGTTGAAACCCCACCGCCACGGCCACGGCAAGACTGTGCCAAGGGATAGCTGCTGCTGCTTACTTGCTGCAGGAAGTGATGGCGTGGTGATGGGGGGGTGGTGGTGGTGGTGCTCTTATCGTGGTCAACGCCACCCAGTGGATCACAGCGGCATTGCTGTGACGGCAGTGGATTGGTGATGTGGGCAGATATGATTGGTAACATGTACAGATGTCTGATTGATTTGTAACATGTACAGCTGTGTGATTGATTGGTAACGTGTACAGATGTGTGATGTGTACAGATATGATTGGTAACATGTACAGCTGTGTGATATGTACAGATATGATTGGTAACATGTACAGATGTGTGATTGATTTGTAACATGTACAGATGTGTGATTGATTGGTAACGTGTACAGATGTGTGATGTGTACAGATATGATTGGTAACATGTACAGATGTGTGATTGATTGGTAACATGTACAGATGTAGGATTGATTGGTAACATGTACAGATGTGTGATTGATTGGTAACATGTACAGATGTGTGATTGATTTGTAACATGCACAGATGTGTGATTGATTGGTAACATGTACAGATGTGTGATATGTACAGATACGATTGGTAACATGTACAGCTGTGACTTGATTTGAAGCTTTCGTGACTGCAGGAATTACTCTTTTTGTTTTTTCGGTAAAGTCACGTATAAATAAGAAATAATAAAATAACATAATAGCGTACGACGTTTCGGTTGCAACACAAGCAGCCATCATCAGGTACAGAAGAGCTAAATTTATGAGAGAGGGGAAACATATAACCCCAGATGTATATACAGACACCCAAGTAGGGGGAACTAACACAGACACAACAGGGACACAGAGAGAGAAGCATACCAGACAAACAGGGTTTAGCAAAATTTTTGGAACCATGTAAAGCAACACAGACGGTCGGTCAAAACACAATTAACGCATAGTCCAAAAATTTGCTAAACCCTGTTTGTCTGGTATGCTTCTCTCTCTGTGTCCGCTGTTGTATCTGTGTTAGTTCCCCATACTTGTCTGTAGAACATCTGAGGTTATATGTTTCCCCTCTCTCATAAATTTAGCTCTTCTGTACCTGATGATGGCTGCTTGTGTTGCCACCGAAACGTCGTACTCTATTATGTTATTTTATTATTTCTTATTTATACGTGACTTTACCGAAAAAAACAAAGAGGAATGTACAGCTGTGTGATTGATTGGTAACATGTGCAGATGTGTGATGTGTACAGATATGATTGGTAACATGTACAGATGTGTGATTGATTGGGAACGTGTACAGATGTGTGATGTGTACAGATATGATTGGTAACATGTACAGATGTGTGATTGATTGGTAACATGTGCAGATGTGTGATGTGTACAGATATGATTGGTAACATGTACAGGTGTGATTGGGAACGTGCACATATATGTCATTGGTGATATGTACATATATGTCATTGGTAGTATTACAAATGTGCGATTGGTGATATATACAGATGTGATTGGTGATATGTACATATTATTGATTGTTGATATGTACAGGTATGCGCTTGATTAGTAACTTGTACAGATACCAGCGTGGCATTGGTGAAATGTGCAAATATGTAATTGGTAATATCCAAATTATTGATTGGTTATATGTACATGTCATCGGTGATACGTACGGATATGCCATTGGTGATGTACAAATTGATTGGTGAAATGTAATTGGTGGTATGTAGAGATGTGAACATATCACCAATCAAATGCTCTCACTGCAGAGCATCTTGAAATACCATTAAACATATGCACTCCCTTTGTCAATCCACAGCTGGAGAAGAGACTCTCCCAACACCATGCAAGCTGTCGGGTTATTCCTCCATACTTCACCATTTTGGACAGTGCGAGTTGGCAAAGGCAGCAAGGAGCATAGATGTGGGAGCATAGTACCGTACAACCACCATTGTATTCACTGCATATGAGCATTGCTTTCAAGTGCTGGCTTTATAATTATAAAATCAGTGCATATTTTCAGGTTTGCCATACATGAAAACAAATTGAAGATGAATAAAGGGGAACCAACGATGGGAAGCCTGCAAAGACGCACGGAGAGATGCACTTCTGAGAGATTACAATGCGAGAATGGAATATGCGGGTCAAGGAACAATATACAGATCAAGACTTTAAATTGACTCCAGAAACGTGGGCCCCTGCAGGAGACATCACGACACTTGAGGTTGGCCGATGGTTGAGACTGGTGAGAGAATGGCAGTCAAAGGAGTGAATCACTCGAGGCCGACCACCGCGGATGGAGTGATGACACCAGCTCAGACGCTGGAGGTAAATTGTGGAATTGCAAGACCGTGACGAATAGCGGATTTAGTGCATCCCACTGGGAATTTTTGCACACAGCGTTGATACACGGTGCTTTTTCTGGAAGACTTTGCTGTTTTTTCGTTGATACACGGTGCTTTTTCTGGAAGACTTTGCTGTTTTTTCCTGGATTTTTCTGTTGCACGTAGTCACTTTAAGATGTTTCTTTGTTCATGTTTTTGTTTGTTGCGGTTGCACCCGATTCAAGAGCTGCATGGCTCACAGGGCTATACCTAATCAATGAACTGAACTGAACATCCATCAATGTATGTTTAAAATTTAGCTCCCCATCAGGCACCTTCGTTAAATAATCATAGCTTGACTTGAGGATGTCCTTCGAAGTTCACTGCCAGGCAGGGTTTGCAGGCATTAGCCATCAAGGAGTTCTAGGCAGATGAAAACCTAAGCGGTCTCTCACCACAAAAATTACAGCATTGCGAAAAAAGGTTGCGGTTGTCTCCAAGGTCCCTTGACTTTAGGATGCACAGATTGCCCTTGAATGTCCGCACGTATTAAGCGTAAAAGATTAATAGGGCACAATGATTGTCAGCAGAGTGCATCCTTGAAAATACTGCGCCAATTCAGGGGTGGGGTACCATGGTATATGCATTTTATTCACAGAACCCCAGAATTTCTATGACGACAAAATTTAGCCAACGATTTAGTGTTAGATTACCTAAATATAACTAGCAATATAAAATAGGTAAAAAAAAACACCAAAAGAAATTACACCATTTCTGGAACACAATCCAATGCTACATTAGTTACTGTATATAAATTTCGATTTAAAGCTTTCGTGACTGCAATGATTCATCTTCTTTGGTTCTTTCGGTAAAGTCACGTAGAATGAGAATATTATTGTGTTATTTTATTTTATCAATTTATTATTTTATTCTCATTCTACGTGACTTTACCGAAAGAACCAAAGAAGATTACTGTATATACCTTTGATTTCTTGCGAGTGGAGTCTCTGCGCAGCATGGAGACGCAGACAAACACGTCAGCAGCACTGCTCAGCTTTTTGAGCGTATGTAGTGCGATTTTAAATTGTTTTCCACGTTGTTTTGAATGAGGGGTTCCAGAAACCTCCCATTATATGCACGACACTGTTATATATTTGTCCATGCTATTGTGGACACGCTACATGTTGAAATCTGTGGTGGACAGAGCCACGCGGTGGTGGTTCTGGCTGAGCACATGGCCTGCAATCCAGCTCTCAAAGCGACGAGGGTTGGTGTATCACCGCACAGATGTGAAACTCCCTTTCCGTGAGCATCTAGGTGCCGTACCCTGGCTCACCAGCAGGCGGTACGGAAAGTGGACTAATCGGCATCCGTTTCCATCTGTACGGGGATAGGGTGTTGCCCCCTCACTCAACGCGCGAGTTTTCTCCGGGTGCTCCAGTTTCTTCCCACTCATCAGTATTTGGCCGAAAACATCTTACAAGTATAAATCCAGTGCAACATAAACATTCAATGTGGCAGGACCCTTCTGAAAAAAAGTCCTACAACTCAATGCGGATTTCCTGGATAAGCAAATTATAATCATTCCACCGAGAGAAAGAATCGACCTGTGTTCATTCAAACATTTGACAATTCTGCTGCGTTGGCAGTGGTGGACAATAAAAACTGACATTCGTCAATAACACTACCTTGTGCACCAAAGGGCCATTGCCCAAAGATCCATTTCTTTCCAACTGCTTTTTGCGCTTTAGTTTGTCCTTCCCCCGCACCTCAGATTATCGTGGTTGTTCAACATACATACAAAACGTCACCTATTACATACTTTCTTTTTAAGGCATGTAAGCACTGTATGTGCTGTGTTCATTCACGCAACTTTTGTACTGACGGTGCTGGATTCAACTTCCGAGAAACACTGAACGAGTCCCGGAGATGCAAATGCTTTAAAGCGAGCACTCAAAAAGACACAATCAATAGCAGGAAACAATTGGAATTTCATTTGCTTTGTTTTACCATTTTATTTTATATTTTTTACAACATAAACACAAAACAATTGACACGCATCAATGCTATAGGCAGTTATTCTGGCTCATTTGCATAACAGCACAAATTAAATGCCACACTACAGTAAACGCCACTACAGTAACACCAATGTCTAACTCCTGACATCTATGCAATGCAAAATCCTAAGAAATGTGTTTTTGTTGTTTTTATCCTTTTTTTTAGGTTTAGTTTTTTTAAAAACGCAAATATTAAAATAAATATTTTAAACTTCAAAACAGCATATTTTTTCTCTCTTAAATTTGTTTCTTTTTTGCATCTCAAGTTAATCCTTTTCCTCTTTAAAATCAAATTTCATTTGAAGGACATGTAGCATGACTGGTGGTAACTGTGTCGACAACGAAAACTATATTACAATACCAATGTTTTATGTTGTTCAAACTATACAGAGCCATGTCACATTAGTACGAGGATACGTTACTGGATATTCGATCTGCCGAGGCTCCAGATAATGTTGGTGGCCTGTATAATTAAAAGTGATGTGCTGCTGCCGGGTTTGACCCGACTTAGAATTATCAGATGGAGATATTTCATTTTGAAACAGTTCCACAGATTCTACACACATACAATACACGCACGCACGAAAGTGGTGATCAAATAGAATTTAGACATTACATTTTAGAAGTGTACACAGACTTAACGGATTACTGTAAATGTTACAATGATTAGTGTATTTCGTAAAATGAGGTTAATTATATATTTCATGTTTGTTATCTCACATTTTTTAATGCCCTGT